ATTATCTACTTTTCCTGTCATCAGTAATGACGTGTGCACTTTGGGTAAAAAAATAGCTGCATATAAGAAATTTGAACAGTGGGAACTGCTAGATCCAAATTCTATTAAACATTAGAGGCCAGATTTTTAAAGGTATCCAGATATCCAACTCCAGTAGGCACCTGAATATTTTTACAATCAATTGCTATTGGGTATATCACTTACACATAAACTTAAAGCTTCAGCACTAGAAAGTCAAGTGAAAGGTCATCTAAAATTTAATGGCCCATTGGATTATCACGCTTAAGGCACATGTTTTACTAGTATCATATCCAGTCACCTTTGACCCTCTCAGTCTAAATGACTGGGTACCCATTTAGAACTATCTTCTGCAGGCAGCATTTGGCATGAATCCAGAGCAGGGCTTGAACTCACACATCCAGAGCCTTTGTGAGATGCTTTAACCACTTTGGCACTGCACCCCATTAGGGGCAACGAATAATAAATGAATAATAATATGCACATTATTAACTGCCTTGATGACTTGAGGCTTGATCTAGCTTTCATTCAAATCAATGGGAAAACTTCCACTGACTTGACTGGTGTAGGGAAAAGTCTTAACCCGATTTCTTGTAGGTCAATTTATCTTCTATTTCTGCTGCCTGCATCTGACTTCCTTTTGAACTGCTAATTTGTCCAAAATGTGGGAACACAAAGAAACCACCTAAGGCTCTTTTTTGACTTCTTGAAAATAGGCAATTGTCTCACTGGATTCTTGTCTCACTGAATAAATAAGAGAGGAGTAGTAACCATGTAAGACTGTCTGGGATCAGTGGCAAGCACTGAAGGGCTCACTTCTACAGAACAAAATACAATAGATTAATTGTCTATATTGCTGTACAACACCCTCTCTATGTACATCATGTCAAAGGGAAAAACAAAACAAAAATGGCTTGCAACTCATATGCACAAATCTAATGCTTTTCATCTAAATTTAATAAAGGCAACACAAATAATACAACACCAAAGTCTTTGACAATAGGTCTACATTGCTCATATATTTGTTCTTATTCTGTCTTTTATGTTTGCAGAGTTCATTTTCATTGCACCTACGCAATGATCATTTTAACCTCTGCTCACCCACATGCTCTCACATTTCCAGCTTAGAATACTAAATACAATTATATAGAGTGTCTTTCAACCAGGGATCCCAAAGAAAGTTTCAATATGTATGTAGCTGTGTTGACCCACATTGAGTGGGTGCAGAGATGCAGCAGAAATCAGGAATATACAGGAGTGGGGGAAGGGTTCAAAAGATAATTGATCAATCTTTTTCATTAAACATTTTTCACTGTATTTTCCCCCTGAAATGTATTCCTCAGATTATCACTTACAAGAATTATTTTTGCACCCTCCAGTAGTTTCAGCTGAAATATCACACCACCAGAAAATATAATTACTTTATAATAATAGTTGCAGCAATGGTAGAATATGATGGATTATTAAATACACTACCGAACACCAAACAACTCCTGTCCTTAGTCATTAGATTAAAAGTGTCATTGTGCTGAGACTATGAAGGACATTTTGTGTGGTCTGAAAGTTAATTACTGTTTCGAGCCTGATGTGGCACCTCTTATTTTTCCCAAACTCCCATTGATTTGTTGTATAATATCATATATTAACAGCACCTTAATAATTAGTATATACATAGAGTTTTTAAGCTCAAAAGGAACCACTATAGATCACCTAGTCTGTCTTCTTCTGTAATGCAGGATACAGAATTGCATCTTGTACTAAGCAATAGGGCTGTGCGAAGCTTCGGTCCCTGATTTGATTCATAGGAAATTCAGTGCAATTTGAGGGCCAAATCTCCAAATCTGAATCAAATCAGAGGACCCTTTAAATCTCTCTGAATAAAATCAGAACCCTCTGAATCGATTTGGAGAGATTCGGAAAGATTCGGCAATTCGGATGTAGACACAGCTTTAAATGTTTTTTCTATATACCTCTAGGTAGCAGGTGGCTCATGAATGTTGTGATAATGGGGCGCATGGCGTGTCCCACAGGAGTGCAGGGGGCTCCCCAGTGCGCTTGGCAGCAGACCCTGAAGTGGACTAGAAGCACTTCTGGTCCACTTCCGGGTCCACCAGAGAGCGCATAGGGGAGGGGCCCATGCCCCCCCCCGATTGGCAACTGGTGCCTTTTGGGACTGGGGGGGGCACCTGGGGTCCCCCTGTGGACAATCGCTGAGCCGGGGGAGCATGGGGGGGTCCCCACCACACTCCCCAGCAGACCCGGAAGTGGACCAGAAGTACTTCCAGTCCACTTCCAGGTTCACCCCCGAGCATGCGGGGGGCCCTTTGCACTCCCGTGGGATGCTCCATCTGCCCCAGCATTACAGCATTTACAAGCTGTGCCTGGTACATCGAGGTGTATAGAAAAAACATTTAAAGCTGCGCCTATGTCCGAATCACTGATTCTCCAAATCAGTATTGAATCTTCAGATTTGGATTCAGCTAAATCAAATCAGGGACAGTGATCCAAATCAACAAATCCAATCATTGTCCCTGAATCTGAATCAAATAGGCCCATTTTGCACACCCCTCTGAAGCAACATAACTTGGGTCTGACTAAAGTGTATTTCCTGGAAATATGTCTTGTTTATAAGAAATTTCAGGAGATGGAGAATCTACCACTTCTCTTTTCAGTTTGTTCCTGTGATTATTCATCATTAGTGCTATATTGATGAGAATGCATTGAGATGCTTCATCAACAGGACTCCTACAATAGCTTTTCTATTTTGTTAAAAGAAAGTTCAGTAGTTTTGCTAAACAAATTTATATAAAACAAAAGCAGGATAATTTTGTAACCATCAATCACTACTTTTCTTTTAATTCTTCACAATATGTTTGGTGACCGAAATGAATTCATAGATGTGGGACACATTTGAGATTTGCCCATTATTACAAGACTGTATATTCAAGCTTGAACAATTTGTAAAGCAACTTACAGAACAGTACAACCAAAGTTGACACTAAGCTGTTATTAGGTTAATATTTGTTTGGATGCTGAAGAGCTACGAGCATGACATTCTTTTAAGATTTGTAAGAAAATGTCTTTCAGAAGATTAGTAAATAAGAAAGGTAGACCTAATGACTGTGGCATCTCCTGTTCTGAAGTCTGCTGTGACCTTTTATTAATAGTCTTATAATAACAACATATGTTTTAATATTTTTCAAATACATTTTTGCCCGCACTGAATTTTATTGTGCTTGAAATTCCCCCCAGGCTCTGCCATTTAATATATGGGGGATGACCAACAAGGACAAAATAACTAAGAAAGAAAGAAAGAAAGAAAAGAAAGAAAGAAATGTAAAAACCTCATAATAACATCACCTATAAAACTACAGATGTTTCAGTTTGTGAAACCTGAATAATTTCTTCCACACCTGTCTAAGCTGCCTATCACCTCAATGTTTTTCTTTATACTTTTCTAGAATATCCCTCTGAGAAATTTGTTCTTTAAAGAAGTACAAGTAACATGGACTGTCAGAGAAAAGGGAACTGTCAGAAAAAAGAGCTGTCAGAGAAAAGTCACATGTCATGCTGTTATTTATAAATGGTCATTCATATAAAAGAGATCATCAGCAAGTGTAGTAACAGATACAACACACTCTCATGCAAATTACAGGGACAATAGAGGCTTTCTTTCTTCAGTTTATATTATACCCCTTCTTCTTGACTTAGTATTTTTCCAGTGGCAGGGTCACAGAAATTTTGTCAAGATTTGTTTATTCCTAAAGAGCCTGCAAACACTTCTAGGACTCTTACAATAAAAATCTTTGTTTTGGAAACACAAACTGAAGTGTAAGTCACCAACAGTGACACATCAGCTTGAGGGCTAGAGACTCCCACTTGTGCAATCTGTTACTTTTGGGAAGCCTGTGACTGAAGAAGCTTATTTTGACTCTCTTATTCCACATATACAGAGTTTGTTTGTTCTTTAATCTCTGCAAAATAATCCTATGTAATTTCAGGTAAATGTTATTAGAACAAGCATATTTTTTTCCACTTAGCAAGCCAGTATATTGGAGGTATTGTGGCTGATTCAGTAAAACAATAAGTATTACATCAGAGTGGAGTATCATCTTTCTCAAAGCCCTGCAGGTAGAAGAATGTATATAGATTTCACTTTGGCACCAAAATGATTCAGACATTGTTCTCTTCAAATACTATTTTACATGGTGTCCCCGTGTTAAGAAAATAGGAAAAGAGGGGTCATTTTCCGTAGAACAGAGGTTCCGAATCTGTACACATGCCCACCAGTGGTAGACAGACAGCCTGTCAGTGGTACATGTTAACATATTTATTATAATTACTTTATATGACAAAAATTTCCTGGTGCTACTTAAGGCTGTATCATTCTAAATTGGTGGAGTGCAATCTGTCAGAGTTTGGGAACTGCTGGCCTAGAGTTACCTTTATTAAAGCAGACAAAAGCAAGAGGAAAGAGCAGGAGAAGGAGGAGGAAGAAGAGGAAATGGCAGAGACAGACACATTAGGTGGGTTTTTAAAAGAGCCAGATAACATTCAGCTATGTAAGCACAGCCAGCCCATCTGATGGACAAACTGGGTAGTTGCCCAGGGTAGCATTTGCCCAAGGCAGCATTTGCCCAGGGCAGAGAAGGCATTTCTAGAGCTGACTAGTGAAAATGCTTGGTGGAGTTTATTATGTGGATGTAGGGGAGGGGGCAGGAAAGTTTATTTTGTTTTGGAGGTGTGGTATATGTAAATTAAGAAAATTAAATGCCTAATTTAAACTTACTATTTTGGAGTCAAGGAACAACTTCTTGAAAAGCACATCAAACTCTTTTTAAAGCTCTTGAAAATACCTAAGTGATTTAGGAGCCGAAGTATGAAGTATAATTTTCACTAGTGGCTTTGAATATGGTTACACCATCCCTGTGCCATACTTGGGACCATGCCAAGAAACAGCCTGTCTTTTTGCTCCCTTTCAGCACAAACTGAATCCCAGAAATAAGGCAATGAAGGGGACTTGATATCCTGGGCACATACCAAATAGCATACCTGATGCAGAGAGCCTGAGTGCTGGCTGAACTGAGGTGCATCCTAGGACCACTCTAAGGTATTTTCATTGTTTCACTTCCAGGACTTGGTGTACTCTGAGTGGGAGCAAGTGGGTGGAATGTGTTTCCTTTGGAAGTTTTGGGCATGATAATGAAGAAGTATAGAAAATCCTTAGGAATTTAAGAGCCTCAGTCCTGTTCAGTTTATTCAAGAGACCTTATTAAAATTATTACAAGCCTTCACATTAACATGAGAGGACTTTAAAAAATGAATTTGAACCAGCGGTGTCCAACTTCCAAGTGGCTGGGGGCCACAGACCCCTGACTACACATGGCATGGGCCACAAGCCACACTCTTTGTGCCTCGCCAGCTGCTACACTACACTGCACCATGCCATGCCATGTGCAACTCCCACTGTATCATGCCAGTGCCCCTGCCATGCATGCCCAACCTGTGATGCACTGTGTCACACTGCATGGACCCCTCTACTGCACCACACCAACACCACACTGCACCAGCACTGCCACACTATGGGGAGTCCCTAGATTCCTTCAAGCTCACCAGCCATGGCTTCCAGCAGCTGTGGACTGTCCTGCCCTGATGCGCCTGATAGGGAGCCTGGAGAGGCAGTGGCAGCAGCTGGGAAGTGATGAAAAAAAGTGGTGAGAGGTGGGAATTCAGGGTCTGCATTTTAAACCCTCAGGGGCTGGATGCAGCCTGCTAGTTGGACAGCCACTAGTTGGACAACCCTGGTATAAGACAAGAGTTGAGCAGGTACTTTTGCTCCTACAAAATATATTTGTAAGTTGAGGTAAAAAATAGAATAGAATAGAATAGAATAGAATAGAAATTGAAGCTATGTGGAATAAAAATGAATTTGGATGTGCAGTGAGAACTATTTCCCATTTGAGAGAACTTGAGGAGGATCTCTCTTATACGGATTTTGGGTTCAAAAAGAAACCAGTATTAAACATGAAGTAGAAGCACTGGATAGCATAAATCAAAAGTTACAATGTTTGTAAAAATGTAGTAATCTATCATCTCCTCCAAGTGCATAATAATCTCTGATTTTATGCATCAGAGAACTGCTGTCAGACTGAAATATATGGGCTAAAAGATAAATGACAGGTCCAGCATAATGAATTGAGATTCCAGTCTCCCTCCTGACTTTTGGCTTCCCACGTCACAGAGGGGTTTGGGATTGATAGAGACCCTGCCCTTGGGAGTTCATTTAAGTGGCATACTCCATTATTTTTTAAACTGCCACAAAAAAGGCTTTTCATTAGTGTTTATGTGTCACCATTTTACCTGGCATCCTAGAAACAAGGCAGTGTGAACACTATAAATTAGCCACACGTAGATTGTACTTTGAACAAGTGCTGTGTTCATATAGAGCTAGAGTTCAGATACGAATACCATCCTGAACTTGCTCCATTGTAAAAAATAAAGCTAGTGTTTGGGATAGAATTGGAAGTGTAAGGAGTCTTGAGAGAGAACAATTTAACTATCTAGACCAAGATCCAGGACCTGCTCTACAGTTCAGCTGGCCAGGCTGTGAAGTTCGCTGTAGTGAGCAGAAGCAATCTTGATGCCCCCCTATAGACCATCAGCAGAGTAACACTGAAGCTGCTACTCCTACGTTTCCATCCTGTCAGGAGATGGGTGGGTGTCAATGTCTCGGTCACCGATGACTCCACCAGCTCTGTTCCGTATCTGTAACAGTATGCAAGGGTTCCCAGACCAGCTGGGTTCCATGACTCATTAGTGAGTATCCTCCACAATATCAGTTTCATGCTTGAAAAGTGGAACTGTTTCTGCTGTGGGGCAGCAAAATTGTTATGTTTCTCACCCCATGTGCATAACTTATTTTACAGTTCCCACTAAGGTACTATTTTGGCCAGATCAATGAGTTATGGACAAGGAACTAGTGCCAAAAATGGCCATAATGGGGGTAATGCAGCTGTGTCCAAGTTGGTAGTACTTTTTTGCCTAGCCTCTTTTGCCAAAGGAACCTAATAATTTTGCTGTCACAAAATAGCAAAACTAGAGATGACGAATCAGGCAGAGAAGCAAGAACAGAAATATAAGCAGTGGCTTTGCTGAAAGCCCTACTTTAAGGGAGGGAATGGAAGCATTAGCATTGCTCGGTTCTTTCAAACTGCAATGAAAACAAATATCCTCCAGCAGTAAAGTCCAAGTGCCTGCCTGATAATGAGCAGCAAGGGAGTGCAGTTACTGTGGCCTCAATCCTTAGAGAAACCAATTCACTTGCTTCATATCCCTTTAGGGACAAATTTACAAATAATCTTGTGGACCTGCTGATGTGACCTTCTCTGATTAAAGAATAAATCTGAAGAAAATAAAACTAAAATGCTGCTTAACTCAAGAGAAAGTTAATTTTAAGCAGGCCTGAAAATTAAATCAGAAACAGCCTCAGTCTGGCAGGCCGAAAGTAAAGGAGCTTGCTTGTCTCCTTTCCTTTCCTTTCCTTTTCCAAGCCTGGATTCATTTAAAAGGCTTTGGTTCAGATGAAAATCAGCATCAGAGAAAATTAATTCAGCAAGCTGGCATGAGACAGGGGGACATGTCCACAATGGAGGAAAAGAGACTGCAACATTTCTTCACAGTCCAGTATGAAATACAGCTGGCTGTAAGGAGGCCACGTGCCTTATGGAACCTCAGCTTGTTAACATGTAGAGACTACTGGTTTTCAGACAGCTTTGGTTTTGTAAATTGGAGAAGAATATTGGTGAAATTTCCTGAAAAGATGTCTTGGGTGCCTCACAGGCTAAAATGATAATGCCATCATTCATTCCCTCTCCATTTGCCTACTCTCCTTTAATTGACATTGTCGGGCTTGTCAATATCCCAGCAGGAGTGAGGTCCAGCACGGAGGAGCCTGAGTATGCCTTTCCCACGCTCTGCCCACCTGCACTTGCTGATGTTTCAAACTCAGAAGGTTTCCAGTGAGGCTGCTCTTTGCTTGCTCCCAATAGCTATCCTCAGACACTCCAGAAACTGGGATTAAGAATAGAAGCAGAAGGTTAATCCCAGATCAGCCTCTCTGGCATACATCCACATTTGGAGCTGACCTTTGAGTATGCATGGGCAAGTTGTGGGTAGGGCAAGATTACCAGGGCCCACCACCATCACAGGGTAGACAAGCCTTAAGAAGAGGTCTTTCTGTACAGCTTTTGAGTTTACTCATTAAAGCAAATTCAGCCACCAAATATTTTACTCATGCAGGTTTCTTGAAAAAGACATGCGCTTAAAGTCCGATCTGTCTATTGATTTCCAGGGCTCCATGTAAGTACCTCAGATCATGAATTAAATATACAGTCAAACTATTTAGGGCAATATCACAAAAAGAAGGATGACCTCAAAACATACTTGCAAAAACATACTTGCAAAAATGTGTTAAAGGTACATTTTGATCATTGCAAGTGGGTAATAATTCTTGATGATCCAAACCCAAAGCGAGTGGCTAAAGTGCCTTAGAAGGCAAATGGCATTGCAATGAGCCCCTTGCAAGTGAATTCACCTTTGCAGTTCATAGAGATCTTGCCTTTATGTATGGGGCAGAGATGACATTTTGAACATAATGTATGTGAATAACAGCAATAATGATAATAATAATAACTAGTATTGTTACTATTATTATTATTTTCTCTAGACTCTGTAATTTCAAGGATGCTTACAGAGAACAATAGAAGGGAATTTTATAGAAGTTCAAACAAGTGAATCACGGTTCATAATTATTATCTGCAGGCTGAAACTTCTACTAGCTGACATTTTACCATTACATAACTTCAGCATATATCATCACCATTAATGCTGTTATAGGTTTTATTATATCACAGTCTGTCCTTCCTTCCACCACCTTGCGCATCCTGCCCCCACCCCTGAGGCAAGTCGGTGCAATGCAGCCTGCAGGGACCCAGGGAGT